AGCCACTGTGCCAATCTATCTTGTTGAGGGTCTTCCCCTTTATTCTGACCCTCCACTCTACCAAATGTGATATCCTTCTCCAGGGAGTAGTCCTTCTGACAACATTACCAAAGTAGGTAAAATGAAATCTGGCCATTCTTGCTTCCAAGGAGCATCCCAGATGTACTTCTTCCAGGACAGATTTGTTAGTTCTTCTGGCAGTCCATGGTACTTTCAGTATTCTTTGCCAACACCACAACTCAAAAGCATCAACTCTTCTTCTGTCTTCTTTATTCATTGTCCAGCTCTCACATGCATATGAAGTGATCAAAAATACCGTGGTTTGGGTTAGGCGCACCTTAGTCTTCAAAGAGACATCTTGGCTCTTCAGCAATTTAAAGAGGTCTTTTCAGCGGATGTGTCCAGTGCAATACATTGTCTGATTTCTTGACTGCTGTTTCCATTGGTGTTGATTGTGGAACCAACTAATATGAAATCTTTGACAACTTCAATCTTTTCTCCATTTATCGTGATGCTGCTTATTGGTCCAATTGTGAGGATTTTCATTTTCTTTATGTTGAGGTGTAATCCATACTGCAGACTGTAGTCTTTAATCTTCATCAATAAGTGCTTTCAAGTCATCTTCACTTTCAGCAAGCAAAGCTGGGTCCATCTGTATATTGCAGGTTATTAATGAATCTTCCTCCAATCCTGATGCCATGTTCTTCTTCATATAGTCTGGCTTCTTGTATTATTTGCTTAGCATAGAGATTGAACAAGTATGGTGAAAGGATACAGCCCTGAAGCACTCCCTTCCTGATTTTAAACCATGCAGTATCCCCTTGTTCTGTTCGAACGACAGCCTCCTGATCTATGTACAGGTTCCTTGTGAGCACAATTAAGTGTTCTGTAATTCCCATTCTTTCAGTGTTATCCATAATTTGTTATGATCCACACAGTTAAATGCTTTTGCATAGTCAATAAAACACAAGTAAACATCTCTCTGGTACTCTTTGCTTTGTTGTGTTTAGACATTCTTGTAGCACATATAAATACGTATGTAGAAATACCATCTGCCAAACTTGCATATGAACATGGGTATATTCCCATTCACCTAACCATATTTTGTCTGTCTACCTTTGTATCTACCTGTAGATAATGTTATTGCCAATAATGCAGTATTGTATATGTAAAAGGATTTTTTGTTGTCTGTATCTTTCATGCACCTCTTCGTGTCTTCCTTTTCCTTAATGTTATTTTGCTGGCCACTCACTTTTGCCTTTCCTTTCACCCAAATCAATACTTATCTCTTACCTATCTGCCAATTTTCCCTTCCCTCCCCTCCCATCCCTGGTTTAAGGAGCATTCTTTTTTTTTTTTTTTTCCTTTTTTGTTGTGGTGAAAACATATACAGTGATACATTAGCCAACATCACAACTTCCCCATTTACAGCTCAGGGAGATTGATAACATTTTTCATGTTGTGCCACCATTATTAGTAACCCTCTCCAAAACATCCACCACCATTAGCATAAACTCAGTGCCCTGCAAGCAAAAGCCTCTCCCCTCCCCCTCCCTTCCAGCCCTGGTAACTGTATTCAGTATCAGGAATGCTCAGGATACAGTTCTTCTATCAGGACATCCTCCCCTCAGCTGTCCACAGGCTCACTTCTCTCTGGTCTCGACCTCTTAGCCCTGCAGCCCCGTGGCCTCTGCTCTGCTCAAGCAAGTGTTACAAAGCTCTTTTAGCCAGGAGGTGCCCTGAAAGCACTCAGTTTTCTTGCTCTCTGGGCCAGGAAGCCCACCGTTCGGTCTCACTCCAGTCTCTTCGTTCTTCTGCTTCTGCTGCCGCCATTTCTCTGCCGCTGCATCTTGCTGCCTCTTACTGTCTCAGTAGAGTGTTACAGCCCTCTGTCTCCCAGCTTGAGGAGGTTCATTTCAGGAATCTTGAATCAATAACCATTGGTACTGAAGGAAGACGTTCTAGCAGCACTGAACACAATGGCAAAAAACAAGTCTCCAGGAATCAACAGAATATGTTGAGATGCTTCAACAAACAGATGCAACACTAGAAGCCCTCCCTCATCTATGTCAAGAGATCTGGAAAGCGGCTACTTAGCCAACTTGAGTGGAAGAGATCCATATTCATGCCTGTTCCAAAGAAGGGCAATCAAACAGAATGCAGAAATTATCAAGCAATATTATTAATATCACATGCTAGCAAAATTTTGCTGAACATAATTTTAAAATGACAGGGAACTGCTAGAAGTTCAAGCTGGATTCAGAAGAGGATTTGAAACAAGGGATATCAATTCAAATGTCAGATCTTGACTGAAACCAGAGAATATTAGGAAGATGTTTACCTTTGTTTTATTAATTATGTAAAGACATTTCACTTTGTGGATGTGGTGTAGTAAATTATTTAGTGTGGCTTTTCTACC